AAGCGTCGAGCCTGCCGCCGCTGACGTGAAGTTCTCCGCCACTGCCCAGTCATAGCCATCACCGCCGTCGTCGCCGTCGCCGTCGGAGATCTTCTCTTCTTCGATGGTAGGTTCTCTCCTTCCTCCCCTCTTCTCCAGTTCTCTCTCTCTTCTATTTCGTTGCAGATGCTCGATTTCTTCTTTGATTGGTAAAAAATATCAAGTTCAACACTGAAAATGCCATCAAAATGGCATTCTTATTTTACAAAAAATATGTATTTTCCTTTGAAAATGCCATTATAATGGTATCCCTGATTCATCTTTTCGTTGCATGACCAAAGCTTTGTTTCATATTTGGTTGTTAAAAAATTCCATATCTCGTTTGAAAATGCCATAAAAATGACATTCATCCTCTTCAAAAAATTTCATGTTTTCCTTTGAAAATGCCATTTAGATGGCATTCTCAATTTATGATGGCATTTTGATAAAATGTTGGCATAACCGGCGTCGTTGGCCGGATCTGCAGCGGCGGAGGCCGGGTGTGCAGTGGCGGAGGTCGGATTTGTAGTGGCAGCAGCCAAATCTGTAGGGGCGGCCGGGGGCTGGTGGCGGTGGCCTGATCTACGGTTTCGGCTGCCAGATCTGCGGCGGACGCAACCAGATTTGCGACGGACGCGGGCAGATATGTAGCAGCGACCATTCTGCAGCAGCGGCCGTCAGCGGCGGCCGGCAACCTGAGGCGGTCCGGCGTTCTGTCGGTAGCAATACGATTTTCCAAGCTTCAGAGGTGTTTTTGTCCAATTACAATTAATAACTCCTATTTTGAAAATTTTTAAACTTTAATCCTATTTTAGCAATTAAAGATGTATCTACTCCCATTTAGATAATTACCTCTTTTGCAAATCTGAAACGAGTACAATGAGCAACCTCAGAAAATTGTTCACAATAATTAATACTCCCTCCGTTTCTGAAACAAGTTCCACCTTTCCTTTTTGGGCAGATTCAAAATTAAGTTCCACTTTCAAACATTTCCTTATTATGTACATCAAAACAGTGTCAAACAGTGCCAAACAGTGTTCAAACAGTGTCAAACAGTGCACTCCACAGTAAAGTCAATTTTATTTTCTTAATATGTGTGAAGTCAAATGTGGAACTTGTTTAGGAATCGGAGGGAGTACTATCGTATACGATACGTTTCAAGCAAGTGGGCTGTGAGTACGAAAATTGCTTGCCAAGGTGATATCGATAGTTTTGTTGTTATTCAATTCTTTGCTTACAATAATTAATAATCACTCCATATAGTACAATCAATCAGATTACGGAATTCGATCATTTTTATTCGCCGCATATTCTTATCCCATTTGTTTCCGAAAAATGTGTGTGTACATCAAATGTGTACATCTTTTGTGTACACATGTCTGTCCCCAACAGACAAGTTGTCTGTCCATACACAATTCTGTAGAGTTGTCTGTCTATAGACAATTCTGTAGAGTTGTCTGTGAACAGACAACTCTACAGAGTTAGGATATTTTCATTTTGACTAATTCTGATCCCACACTAGATCATACTATATACTTAAACAAATTGAATCTCACTCTAACATATTTAAATAGATCAAATCAGATTAGATTTAGACAATTGTGAATTACACATAAACCAAATATTTATCAGATTATAAACTAAACCAGACTTAAACAGATCCAACCAAATCAGATCAGACCATAAAATATTAGTCCAATTAAAAACTTCATAGTGTAACATAACACTTGGAAATAGAAAAATTACCCAAAATACGAGTAAATGAGGTTTTGAATTCCAAAATAGGACTACTATGTTTTTCTTCCTGAAATATGAGTTGTTACTGCCATGTATGAAAAATACTGCCATAATTGAAAAATACTTTCATTAATTATAATTAATATTGTCATGTTAAATGCACTGTACTGTAACTATTTGACAGTCACACCTATAAGATGATAGTAAATACTATCATGTTAGTCCTATTTCGGGAATAAAAACACAATATTCCTATTTTAGAATTCCAAACTTCATTTACTCTTATTTTGGAAAATCTCCCTCCGATATAATACTAGCCATTCAAGCTCCGTGATGTAAAGTTGAAACTTGAAACCAAACACAACACTTTATTTTAATGCAAAGTTGCAATTATTTACGTACTTAGGGCAGCATACCCGCCTCCTGCCTGACAGGGATTGCTTATTCTATTAAGAAGTACAGAGTATTAAACTTGAGCCCAATCCTAGCTTGGTGGACTTAGAGTACGTTTGCCCTTTTGGTAACATTGAAATTGACTGATTCTGCTGAAATTTATGAAGTTCTGGCTGAAGTGGCTATATTGGTTGGTTCTACTGATTTATGAAAAAATTAAATTTAAAATATATTTCATTAATAAAATAATAAAAAAAAATTATATGTAAAATAGTTAAAATGGTCCTCTACAATAACTTCAGCCAATACAGTCAGAAAAGTAAGTCTAACCTTTCTTTTTCTTATTATTACATATTTCAGCCGCGAAATCAAAAGTTACGTGTTCGGTTGAAAAGTTGAGTGATAAGCCCGATTAGCGTCAATCAGCGACCCTGAGACTGTTTAATTTATTTTTGTTTATAACACACATACTTCGTATATACTAAGCTCGTAGAGTGGCAATTAATTAGTTACTCAAGGCAATAATTAAGGCAGTTACTAGAGTCAGGGGAGGATCTATGTACAGGCTATGGTGGGCTTAGCACAATGCTAGTGTAACCTAATTTTCTTTCAAACTTTTTAGTGTAAATTTTTTCATTTTTCAATGAGCATACCCGGCTAATGTTTAAACCTAGTATAATAGCTTCTCAATATGTTAGATAAATGACTTAAAACTTATCTTTGGTGTTGAGGGTCCCAGAATCTTTGGCTCTTTGCTAAAAAAATTGAGCTGCCTGAATGTAGTTTCTTGAGATTATCATTGCTTTTTTAATCACCAATCAGGCAATTACCTAGAGTAAATCGATCAATTGAAAAAATTGGAAACGTGCTTTTTCAAGTGAAAAAGGTCGGAGATGCGTGTGAATAAACAATTCATGTATAGACCTGTATGGCTCTATGCCGTCTTAGTTCAATTCTTAAAAAAATATGTCTTTCAATTCTTGAAAGAAAAAGGATCTCATTCGTGATGGTCCCCCAACACCTATCAAATAATTAGATGAGAGCATTTAAATTGAATTTTAATCACAACCTAATACATAATACATAAAGAGTGTGACTCTGGCTTTGGTACTTACAGAAGCTCTATGTATTTTAGCATGGTAACATCTGATCGTATTTGTCGGGATTCGAACCCGAGACTTATCCCTTATATCACCCATTATCTATCAAGCTACGTCCACCTGTGTTTTAGTTCAACTCTTCCTCAGTGATGCAGAGAACCAATCTGATCTACTTGTAGTATAACTGGTATTTATATAAATTGAAAAACCTTAATTTTTTAACGACTTTGCAAATAAAATAGAACAAGAGAGCGATAAATATTTTATTCACTATTCAAGTCATTATCAGATCGTATGTAACACTGATCATACATTATCCTTATTTGAATACAAATACCGATAATGTATGGAAAGAGCATAATAATTTTAAGGGAGAATTTGACCGTGCACTCTATTGTTTGAGTTATATAAGATTTTGCGCCATATTTTCACAATCATTAATGTTTAGGTATGTACTCTATAAGCCCAAATATTGTGAAGAAATGAGTATGCAAGTGGAATGATTTTATTCTAAATAGGGTGCACACATTAATAATTATTAAAATGGAGTGAAAAGTCAAAATTCTTTCTAAATTTATAGTCCTTTTTATTAAAGAAGTGTATGTTTTACTCTAATTTATGAGAGTTTTACGTTAGCAAATATCACAATTATTTAGAATCTAAATACACGCTTTCTATTTTAATTTCTAAGATCGTGAAATATTGATACTAAGATATGATCGATTAACCAATATCGTGCGGACATTGAAAAGGAGGTTTAGCGATACATATTTCTCAAACGTAACAAAAGTTTATGAACAAAAAATGTGAGAAAAGTTACTCTTAATAGTCAATAGAGTTACTATTATACCTTCAAAAAAATAGAGTTACTTTTGTAGTCTTAAAGTATAAAATATCACATTTTCATTCCCTCCGATCACTTTACGCATATGTATATTATCAATTTAAAGGTCACACTGATAGGAAGAGTAGCTCATATCTTAATATGGGGCCCACACCATGACTATGGATCAATTGGCTCTGATACTATGTTAAAACCCGGGGTTTCATCCTAAAAAGTCAACTTGATAGGAGGAGTAACTCATATCTTAATACGAAGTATATCGCTTTGTTGTTTCAAACTTTTTTGATGTGGGATTCTAACACTACTGCACAATACAATACAAAAGAATACTCCGTAGTATTTGAAAGTTATTACTCCGTATATCCGTAGAGAATGAATTCAGTAAATTAGTCTACTTTCATTATATACGTAATTAAAATGTCATTTTCTTAACATTTAATGTTAGATCTATGAATATTTTTTTACTAATAATTTGTATATTTGATGTTTAATTTCCAGACAGTTAACAAAGTTTACACACTTTCTGACGCTTGAATCATGAGCAAAAATATATACTCCCTCCGTCTCGGAATTATCTTCATTCTTTCCTTTTTGGTCTGTCCCAAATTTATCTTCTTTTTTCCTTTTTGGTAAAGAATATGTGGTTCACAACCATTCTTACACATTTTTCTGTCCTCAGCATAACTCTCCACTACACAAATCCACTATCCTAAAACTTGTGCCCGGTCATAACATGAGTTAAATGGGACGGAGGGAGTAATAAGGACATATGTAAGGCACCCTATGGTACGTATAATATTTAACAAAATATACTAATAAGATGAAAGTAGAAGCTTTCAAAAATGCTATAGGTACCCCAACTTCACCCCAACTTATACCCCATTGAAATACCCCTCCAAAAAATTTACCCCCTCCTCCTTTTCCAGATCTGCCGCTTTTTCACTCTTCCCCTTCCCACAAAGTTTCAAAAAATCAAAACCTTCACCAGCTCTCTTCCAGCTCCGTTACCGACCTCACCCCCTCTCAACCGGCTCCGTCTACGCCTTATCTCCGTTGGCAGACTACAATGACACCGTCTGCCGACATTCCGAAACACCAGTCTAAGAGCCCCAGATTCTTCCACCGCTCACAACCTTCTTCTCCGCGTTCTCCTTCCCCTTTTTCTCTCCTCAAATCCAGCCTTCGTATTTCTAAGGTATGTATTGAATGTAGATGCTCTACATTATTGAATATTGGAAATACTGTTTATCTTCTTAATACTCGGATTTGTGTACTTTGTGATATAAAAAAATTTGAATAACAGAGTAGATGTGGGATATGTTCAAGGATGATGAAGTCTGGGCAAGGGACGACCATATTTAGGACGGGATGCTCTCATAGCTTTCACTTCCCCTGCGTTGCCAAAACAGAATTCCCAAAAATTATTTGATTGACCAGATGGTTCTTGTTCAGGGATATAACTGTTTGTGGTGAAAGGTATATTTTTTGTTGTATTTTTGTTTGTTGAAAATTAGCTTGTAGTTGTCTATGAAGTGAAAAGAGTTGTCTGGCATTCCATTTGATTTGTCTGTAACGTGAAATGAATTCTGTAAAATTGATTTGTAGTTGTCTTTATGTGAAAAGTGTTGTCTGGCATTCCATTTGAGTTGTCTGTAATGTGAAGATAGTTGTGTGTCTGGTGAAATTGTGAAATAGTTATGTATATTTAGACTGCTCTGTGATGATATTGAGATGTATGTCATGGTATTTTGAATATTATGTAATTGGTTTGGAGTTGCCTGTCAATTTATTTTGAATTTTTTAAAATTGATTTGTAGTTGCCTGTCATGTGAAAGTAGTTGTCTGGCAAGGCATATTAGTTGTCTGGCACGTTAAATCCAATTGTTTAAAATTGGTTTGTAGTTGTCTATCATGTGAAAGTAGTTGTCTGGCAAGACGTTTGAGTTGTTTGTCAATTTATTTTAAATTGTTGAAAATAGTTTTGTAGTTGAATTGTCTGTCAGATAAAATTAGTTGTTTGGAAACCCCATTTGAATTGTCTTGCACGTCGTTTGAAATTCTTTAAAATTGGGTTGTAGTTTTTGTCATGGCCTTTCTTCTGAGTTGTATCAATTTATTTGGCTCCACAAAAATATTGGCTCCACAAAAATATTCAATATGTGTTTCCCGTTTCTCTAATTTTTATACTTTGCTATGAACTTTGAGTGAGAGGACGTGATGCTTTTCCATATTGTGTTGAAGCTAAAGTATTCTTTCGTTTTTTGTTGCTCTAAATTTTGCTTCATTTCTTTCAGGTGGTTATTGGGGGAGCTGTTGTTGATCTAAAGACAGTTTTCGTAGTGTATTTGAATGATAATCCTTTATGGGTTCTAAATTTTTTGTAATATTTTCAGCGGGTGGAAGAGTTCAATTTCACTAAACTCTCCATTTATTTGATGTCAAGATTTGGAAGGATGCTACAAAATGTTTTAATCGTTGGCAATCTCCACTGTGGGAGGAGGATCCCTTCCAACAACTTAGCTCAAAATTAGTTATCGATCTAAATGTAATGAAGATATTCTTTGTATGATATTACCCCTATGTATTGTATTTGTATTTTATCATAATCAATGAACTTGGTTCCGTTTAGTAAAACATGTATTGAATTTTGTTAATGTACAAATGAATTTGGTGAATACAAAACATGTATACTATTGTCTGGACAGACAATACATATATGATATATCTAGACAGACAATAGAGATAACCAGACAAACATTATTTTTATGTAGAGAGACAATAACTTTACACTTGTTCAAAAAAAACCAATCTAATTGTTTAGTATTGTACAATATTCAACACATTTCCCCATCTGTAATATGTAATGTTTGTAAAAAACATATTCAAAAAAATCACAAGTTCAAAATCGACACATTTCCCCAACACTCCATGCTTTAGCCTTCTTCAAGCGCCATGTTGGCGTAGTCATAGTCAGGAATCAATAACTTCCCTGGTAACAGCTGCTCTGCAAATGATATGACCATGACGCCACATAATTCGGATCTGTAGACAGACAAATAAAGCGCAGATATATATTTAGGACACTTAATACAGATCATACATGTAATGCAAAAAAATATTGACTTTAATACCATGCTTGCTATTGAGGCACACATAAAGTCATAAACTTTAACCAATCTACTTCCAAAGACAACTTTGAAGACAACTAACAAATATAAAACTAGACTACTAATGTCTGGCCCCGACAAAATTTGTTTGGCTGTAAGACAGAGAGTAGTTAATTGGCCCAAGCTACTAATGTTTGGCCCAAACAAAATTTGTCTGGCTGTAAGACAGAAAGTAGTTAATTGGCCCAGACTACTATTGTCTGGCCCAGACAAAATTTGTCTGGCTGTAAGACAGAGAGTAGTTAATTGGCCCAGATTTGACAAAACCGCGTTCACTTTAAGCTAGATAGACACTACAGTTCTAAATTGTCTGTCCGCCAAACAAAATACAAACAAATGACAAAAAAACAACATACTCTGCTCCAAGACTTCAACGTCCACACCTTCATCATCTTCTTCCCTTGAGGTACAAAAAATGGGAAAAAAGTCTTGAATTTCAACAAAAAATTCATTGAGTATTTTCTACAAATATGTTATGGGCATAAAATGACCTAGAGAAATTACACTAAAATTTTAATTAATTAACACCTCTAAATGATTACAATGAAACAAACTAATCAATTATTCACTTTTATATCATAAATTCATACATAATATATATAAAATCGAAAAAGGAAAAAAATAAATAAAAATAAATAAAAAACACACATGAGGAAAAATGGAGACAACTAGATGGGGAGATCTTGAAACCTTCAAAAATGGAGATGAGAGCTCTTGAAATGAAAAGAGGAGAAAATATGGGAATGAGGGTGAGAGAATAGTAAATGAGGGATGGGAGAAAGAAGGAGAGGGTGTGGGATGAGAGATGTTTGGAGGAGTAAAAAATGGTTAAAATAGGAAGGCTTTTATATGGGGTACAAATTGGGGTAGGATTGAGGTACCTATATGCGAAAGAAAAGAAAAACACTGCTGGCAGCGTGTCATTCCAATGCGTACTAGCTTAGAGATCATTTCATGGCAAATTGTACCGTGCAACCGGCGCACCATGAGGATGGTGCGCCCGGTTGCAAAATGACGCAGCTTTCTTGTTTTTATTTTTTTGTTTTTATTGTTTAAAAATGATGATAACTTTCTTATTTTTTATCCGATTTTTATAAAATTTATATCAACATTTTTTATTTTTCATGATCTTTCAAATGAGACCAATATTGCTTATGTAATGTTAAGAAATTATCGAACTATTATATTAATGAGTATTGGATTATAAGGAAAATCGAATCTGTATGGAAGATGATAGGTTTGTGAAATAGAAGATTGAATCTGTTTGGGAGTGGATCAGTGGCCTCAGTTACATTTGATAATACATTGAGTTACATCTTTTTATGAACGAGTTACATTGAGTGAATCTGTTTGCATTTTTTGCACTATAAAATTACATATTTTGGATGATGATAAATAGTTCAAGACTACTAAACGGTGAATTTAATTTTATTACGGTTAAACAAAATCAAAGAATGTTATTTCAAAAAATGTAACAATGTGCCCAAAATTTCGCAACAAGACTAAAATTAAAATTAATGAAGTTGACGTGTTTCATCTATTTATATATAAGAAAATTAAACTAGAATAGTACCCGTGCATACGCACGGAAAAGAATAGTTGTTGCATATAATTTTACTTATGATCTAATTAAATATTAAAATAAAAATAACTTTTAAGACTTTTACATTTTCGAAAAATAAGAATACAATGAGCTAATACCAAGTATAAGTGATACAATAAATATTCGATGAAGAGTATATTAGAGAAAAATAATTGACACTGCTCATTAGAATTTATTACTTATTGATTCTCATGATTAAGTTAATTTTAAAATTAAATATTGTTCTAAAAAAGCGAGTACAATAAGTGAGTGATATAAAATTTTAATTGAATACAATAAATATTAAAATTAATGATATTAGTTAAATTAATAAGAACTTGCTACTACTTAGTTAAATTAGTGCTAACATATGAGAGAGAAAATTATTCTACTAAATTGTTAATCGACTTAATTTATACCTAAAAGAACTAAATATGAGAGAAATTATTTCGCTCGATTGTTACCCGACTTATGTTATACTACAAAGAACTACATATATGAGAGAAAATCATCCGCTCATGAATTGTAAACAAACATATCTTCTAATATCTAAAAGCTATACATATGAGAGAAAAATCCTCCCGCTCAAATATAAGCAACCTTATGTTCTTATATTCTAAAAGAACAACATATGAGAAAGAAAATTCTCCCGCTCACTTGTTATTCGGCTTATCTTATCATATATCTAAAAGCACTATATATGGAAGACAAAATTTTCCAGCTCAATTGTTAGCCGGATCATCATACTTAAAAGAACTACATATGAGAGATAAAATTATTCCCTCAATTGTTAGAAAACTTATCTTCTTATCTTATAACTAAAAGCACTACATATGACAGACAAAATTCTTCTGCTCAAATATTAGCCGGCTTATCTTATCTTATACTTAAAAGAACTACATATGAGAGAAAAAGTCCTCCAACTCAATTATTAAAAATTTTATCTTCTAATACCTAAAACCACTACATATGAGAGAGAAACTTCTTCGGCTCATTTCCCCGCTCAATTGGTAGCAAGATTATCTTCTAATAACTAAAAGCACTTAAAATGAGAGAAATTTCTTCCGCTCAATTATTAGCATGCTTATCTTCTTATTATATCTAAAATCACTACATATGAGAGAAAATTCTTCCGCTCAATTGTTAGCCAGTTTATCTTATAACTAAAAGCACTACATATGAGAGACAAAATTCTTCCGCACAATTATTAGCCGGCTTGTCATATCTACTTTAGTACTAATAAAGTGGAGTTCCTTCAATTCAAATTGATTTCTATTTTAATTGAAGTTGAGTACAATCATTAAAATTGATAATTTTCAGATTTCGTATTATAAATTAACGGCAAATTATACCGTGCAAAAATGTAACAATTCCAATATCAATTATGAGTGTTTTTTATAGTACACAAACTCAATTGACTTTTCTGCCCTACACTACAGGAACTTATTTGACACTTCCCTATATAATTTTAATCATTCTACAAGTCTGAAATCAATATATTTTATCTTTTGAAACCTGTCGAGTTTCCTGCGTGATTGAGCAATCTCAGAAAATGTACAATACGTTTGAAGTGGGCTCGGTAAGAAAGTTGCATCTCAAGGGGATATGGATAGTTTTGTTGTTATTCAATTCTTTGCTTACTTATTACTCCCCCGTCCCTGAAAATACTTCCAACTTTTCCTTTTCATCCGTCTAAAAAAAAAATTCATTTTCCTTTTTTGGCAAAGAATTTGTGGTTCACAGCAATTCTTACACATTTTCTCTCCACCATACAAAACTCACTTTCTTAATCTGTGTGTCATTTGTACTACGGAAGAACATTTAGGAACGGAGAGAGTACTACTAAAAACCACTCCATGTAGTACAACCAATCAGACTACGGAATTCAGAATTCAGACCATACTAAACTTCCAGAGTTGTGAAATACACGTACACCAATATTGACCAGACCAGTTGATCAGATCACATCAAACTTAAATAGACTCAACAAAATCAGATCAAGTCAAACTAGATAATAAAACTTTAGGCTAATTAAAACATTCTAGTGCAAAATTGCACAAGATATAATACTTGTAACTCAAGCTGCGTGATGTAAAGTTGAAACCAAACTCAACACTTTATTTTAATGCAAAGTTGCAATTATTTACGTACTTAGGGCAGCATAATCGCCCTACTGCCTTACAGGGATTGCTTATTCTATTATTAAGCTACAGCCCAATCTTAGCTTGATGGACATAATTAGCCATCCCAAGACTGTTTAGATTATTCAAGTTTACACACACATATATTCGTAGAGTGGAAATTAATTAATTAAGCACCATAACTAAATTCTTTGCCCGGAGTGCAATGAGTTTTATCTGGCCTCGATGGTTCTGGACAGTTCTCAAATGCTTCATATCTGTCAAGGCAAAACTCAAGTTGGAAAAAATAATATTTTCCATCACTTCCATCTTTGCAGAAAACTGTGGGTGTCCTTCCGGGGAATGCCTTTTTCACACCCTCAACATTTGTTGGATTTCCTGCATGTATTTAGTTGCGAATTAATAATGCTTAACAGTGCTCTACAAGGCGTGAGGCATGATAAGGTGTCGAGGCCACAGCCTAAACCGGAATAGACAAAGCCTAAATGTGAAAAAGCGTTTTAGATTTCTATTGATAATAAGTACGCAGTATTTAAGCTGCTCTAGTTTATTTGTATATCACCTGCTTGTTGAAGAAGCCGTAAAACGTTGCTGGCATCGTACAAATTGAGAGATCGCCTAAAATAACCTTTGACGGTATACAATGCACACTTCTTGCCATGAGCCACCCACTCATGATCCCAAAAAGTTCCATACTTACTTGGATTCCCATAATTTTTCAAGTCTGGCCAATTCTGATCAAGACGACCTCGAAGATCTTTCACCAGATCGACACTGAACTTCTCGGTCGAGTCGGTGCACTTAGCTCTATAGATAGGCCATAAGCCGTGAATTGTGAAATGGTCAGGCAAGTTGGTTGCTTTTTCGCATCCAGACCCTTTAGTCTTGCAATAGCCTTTAGGCCATGTGAATGAAAGCTTGAAAGTCAATTTAGTGGGATCAATATCTTTGCCCAAATCTAGTTGATATGATTCAAGTGGGTGAAGGAGGGATTGGGTGTTGAGTGTAGTGTTTTCATCCTCACTAGCTATAGCATTGGTGACAGAAAGAAGAAAAATGAGCATGAAGGTAGTTGTGACATAGCTAAGAACCACAGGGATGTTGTTATAAGTGGCCATTTTGAACCTTCAGAATCTTTGGTAACAGTTTGGATGGGAATATGATGCTCAGCTTGGTGTATAGATGCACATATATATAGGGAGTGAAACTTGCACACTACTAGTACAATAATGTCTCAATAATATCTATACCAATTTAAATGGCTTTATCAACATGTGATTTAAATACACTTGTCTTATTCAATGGTTAATATGATAAAACCTATCAATAAATTTCATACTCAATTAAAGAAATTGACACTCTGTATTGAGAAAATTTAAAATCTAGTACCCTAACTTATGCACATGTCCATTTTTAGTCCAATTATAATTTACTCACTTGTAGATTGGCCTAGTCCGCTAGTCCTACTTTAACAAATAAATAAATTTGTTGTCATTAGGGACTTTTAATTTCTTTGAGTTACATGACTAATAATGGACATCAAAAGTTATGAGATTAAACTAATAAATTGATCTCCCATTCGAAGATTTGGTCAAATAGGTACAAAATTAACGGAATTGACTTTCACTCCGTAACTTGCCAAACTCATTTAAGTTGTTAGAATAGGTATGAACCTTTTTTATAGACTATGATCCTCACACACACACACACACACACACACACACACACACACACACACACACACACACACACATATATATATATATAAGTATATATATTGAAAGTTCTCTTACCCTCTCAGATATATAAAGAAGTTATATGATTAAATAAAGATTTGTTGGATTAATTAATATTTCATCTATTCATTATCTCCACAAATTTATTGTTTTCTTTACTTTGCCTTTAAAGAAACTCAAACTTTAAAGGAATTTTTTACAATAATGATATCAAATTAAACTTTAAATGAAAAACCCATGTTTCTATTTCGTACCCTCCCATTTCTTTAACATACGAAGTTAAAAAGTACTTCGTATGTTACAGACTAGGGGTGGGCATGATCCGGTTCGGTCCGGATAATTGATAAATTTTCAAAATCGCCAGTTCTACTTAATGGGTAGGTTTGGTCCGGATATTTCAAGTTTTGAAATAAGAACTGGACCTTATTCACCCCGTTTGAAACGGGTCGGTTCGGTCCGAGTTCTCGGTTCTTTTTTTTTCGTAAAAAAATACAACTATGCTAACAAAGTATATAGTAGTTATAACATTCTCCGGCTAATTAAATATCAATGTCATCATAATATAGTACATGTTCAAAAAAAAATCTAAAAAAACATTTGAAATTGGTTCACAAAATATCTAACCACAAATCTATAACTTAAACAACACAAAACCACCCAAATTAAATAACACCAAAATTTAAAATGTAGAAATTTAGATTTTTTTTTGGGGGGGGGGGGGGGGGGGGCGGCAGGGGGGGGGCTGGGGGTCGGGGGTCCCAGGGGGGAGGGAATACAAGAGCTCAAACTACTCCCGGAGGGAATTGAACTCCTGACCTCCAGGATAATCGGGTGACTCCACAACCAACTAAGCTAGTTGATTCGTCCGAATTTAGATATCACTATCCATAAACTAAAAAGATATCACTATAAATTAAAGTCAGAAGAAACTAAACTAGTTAGCATACACATTTGTCTATGAAAATAATTTAAAGCTTATTAAATCTCAAAATATAAGTAAAGTTAAGATAATTAAATAATTTGTGACACTTCATTGAGTAAGAGTCTTCGCTTACAAAAATGGTACGTATTAAAGAAAGAAAGTCTGATGCATTTGGAATAGGGAATTAGGAAAAAATAATTAGGATTTTATATGGACTTTGAAACCTTTTTAATAGACTGTCAAGTTTTTTTAATTGAAAGTCTTTGTCTAGACACAAGAACATGAAAAGTTTTCTTATTAGTATACTTTGTTAAATGTTATGAAGTTTTTTAAAATAACATTTTAAAACGGGTCGGTTCGAGTACCCGTATTTTCAAATTTTAAGACCCGTTCGAACCAAACCGTTTGAGTTTTCTAAAATTAGGACACGGTCCTAACGTAACCAGCCCCGAACCTGTATTACCGAACTGACCCACGATTCCTGTACCCGTTTGCCCACTCCTGATGACAATTTATTTTCAGTTGAGAAACAATTAATCAAATCATTTTGCAAATTAAATCACTTGAACTACAACTAGAAGTTAAACGTTTTGCACACAATTGGATAAAAGTAGGGGTGGGCAAGAATACCGGAAAATCGGTATACCACACTTACCGTACCGAAAAATACCGGAAAATACCGGAATATTGGTATACCATCATTTTCGGTACGGTATCATACCGTACCGATATATTTCGGTACGATAACGGTAAATGTTTTCAAATACCGTGGTATACCGGTATAATACCGTACCGACTCCCACCCAACGATTACTAGTACTATAAATTCTAAAATATTGTAAAAATCCATTACAAAGCCCAAAATTAATACTTATGTTGGTTACAAATACTAAAATACAAAAATAAAGGCCCGATTTCCCAAACCAACTATAACCTTCTAGGCTTCTACTACGTAACATTCAAACAAACAAACCCTAATGACTAATGAGTAATGTACTAATGTCCGGATCAGTCCATCTTGTTCCATAAGCTTGCGAGTCGCGATGGCTGAGCCGCTGAGTAGCTGACGAATGAAGAGGGATACACTTAAGTGACGAGTGTATCCACATAGAGATTCCGCAAGTCAAGGCACATAACTTTGTCCAAAAGTCTTATTCAAATATTTTAATTAAAATTATAAAAAAGACTCAATACACAATATCATATTATGGATAAATGATTTTATATCCATGTTGTTTGAATAATTTTATTTATTTTTGTTAGTGATCACTATTCATTTAATTATATCTATATTGCTCAAGTTATTTAAATATGCTGGATTGCTTAAATATACTAATAATAATAATTGTTCAATATTGAATATGACATCAATAGATTATTAATTGTATTTTCTAATATTTTAATAATGGATTAAATATGTCGTTAGTACACCGATTTACTATATTTTGTTAGTCTATGATAATTTTTTGAATTGGGGGACATGCATGGTAATTTACCGATACCGTATCGTTACCGAACCGAAACTTCGGTATACCGAAATGCGGTATACCGAAATTTCGGTAAGGTAACGGTATATAAATTTTGTATACCGAAAGTTTCAGTACGGTAAAGGTATGAGAGAAAATATTCGGTATACCGTACCGAACCACCCCTAGATAAAAGTGCTAGAAGAAATTGCATTAAAGAAGACTAAGGGTGTTTTTACTTGGACTGTAATTTACTGGTCTGGTCTGGTCTGATCTGTTTTGGTCTGGTCTGGTCTGGTCTGATCTGAAATTTTATTTTTATATTTTTTGCATAAATATTTTATTTTTTTATATATATTATAATTCATAAATAATTATATTTTATTCATTTATAATTACAAATATAAATGAATTATAAATGTGAAGAAAATTATATTTTGCATCGACGGTTTCTTTTGTTTGTGGCACAAAAAAAAAAGGGAGTGTGAAAAATAGTTTTCTTCACAAAATGAACAATCGTAGTATCCTACAAATTGTATTTTCTCTAATTTAATTTCTTGGATCAATTTTTTGTTTTAGCTCAAATTTGTATGACGATTTCGATTTGTCAAACGTCCCATTGATGTACTAGGTTACTAGAGCATGTGCTTCAATAATTGACTTTAAACTTATCTTTGTAGTGAAGGGGTCCCCGGATATCAATATCACGTATATTGCCATGCAATAATAAAGCATTGAATTAATTATAAAAATAGGACTAAAACTCACTCTTTTTTTTTTATTTCAGAGACTCCGGAGGAGGGGTTGGAGGGACGAGGGCCTGGAGTAATAAAAGATGAAACTCACTTCATTGAGTTTCAAACCCTTATGTGTCTAGCGGGATTCGAATTCGAGACCTCCCACTAGGCACGGTAATCTCACAACTAGTTGGGCTGGAATATTTGGTTAGGACTAAAAGTCACTCACTTTGCACCAATAACATAAAAAATAAACTATATTTTCATAGGACAAAATATGTTTGTCTTGGATAAATATATCCTTATAGCTATTGAAATGTTTTAATTCATAATAAAATAATAAAAAATAATAAAAAATCGTAAAAAGTACTAAAAAATTAATAAAAAATTTCAATGATAATAATTTTAAAAAAAAAAAAAAATTAAAATCAAAAACTCAAAAAAAAAATCACCGCCGTCTCTGCCGCATCAGCAACACCACCTCCAGTCACCAGGAGAAAATGTGTCATTTTTTGGCATTCTTAGGAAAAAATGGTAGTTTTTAGGAAAAATGACATTTTTTTCACCGACCGGAGGTGGTGGTGCAGGGAGATAATACAGGCGGTGGAAGGCATCCATATTTTTTTTAAAATTTTTTATGGGATTTTACTATTTTTTATGAATTGTTTTATTTTAAAAAAATAATTAAAAAAATTGATTTTTTTTAAATATTTTATAAATTTTTTAATTATTTTTCTAAGAATTTTTGATTTTTTTTCGAATTTATTATGAATTAAACATTTAATTATGGCTTTTGACTATTTTTAACTCATATTTAAAGGAAGGGTGAGAATGGAATGAAAAAGTAGGTATGTTTCCAATAGGACTAATATGGTCCTATTTTGAATAAAGAAAGTAAGAAACATAGCAAGTCATATTTTGAGTTTTTGCCATAGTTTTAGTCCTATTTAGCCATATTTCTATAAACAATTTGTAGATATATTTCTTTGGGGTTGGTGGTATGACTTAATCATCCACCTCAACTCTCTCCAAGGGGAAGTTTTGGATTTAAAAATCATGCCGCTTCCTTCCGTCCAATATTAGGGGGCGGAAGTAGGGCAAATTATATTATACACTCGGGTGTACATGTACACCCGGTTTTTAAATGACGTGGCCTCACTCCCTCACTCCCCGTTGCTTTTATTTATTTCAGCCGCCATTCTTTTTCATTTTTTAGCCTCCATCCCGTCATCCTAGTTCATTTTATATTTGTTGTCTTTTTTATTTTATTTTTTCGTTACTTTTTTTCTCTTCTTTCTTTTTTCTTTTCGTTTCTTTTATTTTACTTTTTTGTTACTTTTACTTTAGTTAATTTACTTTAGTTAGTTTACTTTTTTGTCTT